ACATGGTCCGGACACTCATTTAGGGTAGGAGGAGCGTCCATACGCTACAACCTAGGGACACCGGTAAGGAGGATTGCAAAACAGGGAAGGTGGCAATCACTTATGTACCTACGATACTTTAAAGCATATTTGGAAGAAGAGAAAAAAGATATGATTGTGTTCTTAAAAACAATAGACGAAAGAGTGTAAAACGAAGGAAAGAAGGATAAACCTGTTATCATGCACTAATACGCCACGATTGGCAATTGAATAAGGGGTGAACTTTAAAATCAATTGAATAACTCGAACTCTAAAATCACCCGGCCCGGGCTTTGTCGTGATGGGTGAGCTCGGGTGGCTAGGCGACGAGCCAGGTGCCGGTCTGCCTAGTTGAGGGGCCCGGAGCTCGACATCAGATGAAACCTACTCATAAACCGGTGGGGGGGCGGGATTGAGGGCGCAAGGCCGGCCAGACGGTTGGTTCCCGAAAACCAACCGGTGTAGTATTTAAAGCTCAACAAGAGCTTTACAACACCTAAGAAGGGATAATCTACTACGTGTAATATAGTAGAAGTTGCCTAAAGACTGCCTTCTTCAAAGAAACCAGCACAAGGGCACTTGCTGACCACTTTGTGATAACAGAGAAAAGGATAAAAGGCACCAGAGAAATAAAGCAATACTGTTGTTAAGTATTATTCCCAGATTTTAAGCGCAAAAAAGTCACACACTATGTTTATTACTAGCAATACTGTTGTAAGTATTATTCCCAATTAGACTTGTAGTCTTTAACACACGTAAATAAATTTCTCCTTGCTTTTGAAGGGGCGGATTTAAGTGATCTTAGTACAAATATAGTAAATAAATGATGATTTATAACACTACAACAAAGGTATAAGATGCAGAAAAGGGCGCTACAATCCCAAAATCATCAAGGAGTACTTATATCCACATGTAACAATCTTTACAACAGTCAACAGCCTCAAAAACCAATCAAATCCGCCTAAATAACCCTAAAAACCATGTAATGACACAATGTAATGATCTTGTTACTAATGTATGATGTAATTTTCACAGCCAAAAGTGATCAATGACGCAATGATGTAATGTACAGCACTTCTTAAGATGAATACAGGTGATTTTTTCCTTGTAAACTAGCTGAAACCCAATTTTTGAGATTACGAATTTTTTCAGATGTGCTCCAATTTTTGATTACTAAAGTGCATCTTGTAGCCCACGTGTTACTGATCATTTCTGACACCTATAAGACCTACTTCTGATGAGTGATGAGTAAGATATTGAGTTGTGAAGTTAAGGTTTTTGGTGTTACATGTGTCTTGTGACTGTAAATTCGAGATTCACACCAATTTCTTATTTCCCTTATAACTTTTTACATACACCTCCGTTACTAATGATTCAAAGGTTGTACATTATGTAATCCACTCTTCTGCGTTGAATGAGCCATCTACCAACTTATTCTGACGTCATTTGACATATGTAATCAGCTGAAAACCTCCATTTTCGACGATTTTCACCTATTTTCTTCACTTTTCACAGCTGCTACTCCCTTTTCCTTGCTCATGTAATATGACATCATCTTCTATAACCTTAAAAATCCCGGAAAATCCTCTTGGCAACCTTAATTTCCATCACTACCACCATTACATACGTAAACTACACGCCTAACCCTTGTTTACCAACTTCGAAAAAGTACCTTTCTGCTAATAACCTCTGTTTCCCCTTATCAACCTTGAATAATAAAATTGTTCCTGTATAATAAACTGTTGTTCTTTCATATTCTAACCTTATAAAACCCATAACTTAATTATAAATAAGCTAAAAACCATTTTCCAACTTTTACACCTATATTTTCGAATTTTTCTTATCTTTTCTTTTTCTGTCTTTTTGTAATAACTTTGTAAGTAAACTATGTTGATCTTAATAATAATTTTGAAATAAGATGACATAATAATGAGCTAATAAGTATACATAAGCCTCTAAGAGCTTCAATTGATCTGAAAACCTGAATCTCAAATTCTCTGCTATATTGAAGTTTGCTAATAAACTGGTAAAGTAAAGATGATTAATTTTTTTGCTTAATATCATAAATAGATCACCACACCGGAAGGCGGGACTCCATCACTCCCCCATACGGATATCTCTGACAAGCGAGTAAGAGATATCATAAAGGGTGGTAGATTCATCCTACAACCTCAACTTAAAATTTAGGTTTTTGAATAAATTTTCAACTGACTCAGTATTCCCACAGCTAACTGAGGAGTGGGTTGAAAGAACCGCAAGGCACGCCGTGGTTCTTAAGCCCACGGTGACTTAGCGGAGGTGGAGAAGTGCGGGCACAGGCAAAAGGCGCCAAAGTGCCAAAGAGAGAAATTTAGAATTTGAGTTCTGAAATTTCTCATCTCAAACATTCTCAACCTCCCTAAGGAACGTCAAGAAATTAATTATTGAACTCTCATCAATAATATTACCATTGTTAACTATTAACAAAATTTCAACAACCTCCCACCCACCCGTACATGAAAAGTGGTACTCAAAGGGAGAGAATAAATTAAACATGAATCCCACCCACCAACCCAGGGCGTGAGTCCGGCCAGACGGTTGGTTCCCGAAAACCAACCGGAAGGCGGGACTCCGTCACTCCCCCATACGGATATCTCTGACAAGCGAGTAAGAGATATCATAAAGGGTGGTAGATTCATCCTACAACCTCAACTTAAAATTTAGGTTTTTGAATAAATTCTCAACTTACTCAGTATTCCCACAGCTAACTGAGGAGTGGGTCAAGCTGAATGCTGCAATCTACAAAGCTACAGTCACCCAACTTATTGTTATGCAGGAGCTTCCTTTCTCATTGGTAGAGAGTGCAGAGTTTCAAGACCTCCTTGAAGTGGCAAATCCTAAAATCTGTCACCTTCACTACAGATCTGACACTCAATCTGAATACATCATATCTCAGTTCCGACCTCTCTCACTCTGAATTATTGATATTCTGAAGGCTACTCCTTATGTCTCCCTGACCTTTGATGGATGGTCTGCACCATCTGGGAATTCAATACTTGGTATCACAGTACACTGGATCAACAATGATTTTCAGCTTCAAGAGATCATTCTTGCTGTGAAGGAAATTGATGGGGATCATTCAGCAGAAAACTTAGTTGAGCTACTTCACAAAACTCTTAAAGACGTCGAAATAATTGATAGAGTTTTTACTTTAACAGCCAATAATGCCAACACAAACGCTGCCATGGCCCAACTACTACAACCTCATATCCCTGAATTCAATGCAAAAACTAACCTCTTAGGCTGCATGGCCCATGTTGTCAATTTGGCTGCTGAAGCTGGAATCAAAAGCTTTAGTAAGGCTCTTGGTGAGACAGATACTGGTCCTGCAGTAAATGGTTTGGATGATTGGCTCAAAAACGAGTCCACCCCTCAGCCAGGGAATAGCTCATTCAAGAGGCTTTACACACTCATCACCTATATTTATAAACCCCCCCAACAACTCCAATCATTCCAGAAGCTGGCTGATTCATGTGGTTTGCACAAAGGTTTTGTATGACCTGTTAAGACGCAATGGAACTCTGACTTAAATTGTCTTGAGCAAGCAATTGAGTTGAAGGAAGCAGTAAACATGCTCACTACCGACAACAAATACATTCAATATGCCATCTCTTCCTCTGAGTGGGATCTTTTAGAAAGCTTTACAAAGTTTTTGCGTCCCTTGGAGGAGGCCACAGTTCTACTCTCGGCTGCTAAATCACCAACTCTTGCTGATGCAATTCCAACTTATCAATTTCTTATTGAGTCACTCAATCTGGTGAGTTTCCTGTTAATTCATTGACCCTCACAATTCAGTACATTGATACACTGAACTATGTACATAGGCCTTGTTGACTGTCACCAATCCAGTCTTTGTAGCCGCAATCAATCCAATCAAGAAGAAGGTGATGGACTACTATCGAGCTGCTGTGCAAAAGCCTGTCTATCTTTGTGGCAATATCTTGGACCCTCATAGCCACCTGTGGCGCCTACTCCGGTCGAGTACCGAAGCAATGAAACGGGGCGCCTTTTCATCGGACTCTGACTCAATGGTCTGCGCTAGATCACCCGAGATGATCTAGAGCAGATAACAACCCCTTCATAAACACTGTTCAAGTCAATTCCAAGTCTCGAAAGTGTTCAATATGTCATTAAGAGACATTCTCATTGTTTTTTTCCCCTTGAAAATTCCCTTGAAAAAAAACAAATCTTGAGTCTACAACACAAGGTTATCAGATCTCTCAGATCGATCTGCGGGCTCTCAGATCGATCTGTGGCCTCTCAGATCAATTTGAGAGCTCTCAGATCGATCTGAACACCCAGATGGATCTGACCTCCTAAGATCAATGTGATAAACAACCCTCAGATCAATCTGAGAACTGGTTGTACGTATGTATATTTACCAAGATCATACATATAAAAGTCCTTCAAATCAGCATCAATCACTTGTCAAACCAGTTTGATACGATCTCACAGCATCAAGCCCGATTCGACCAAAACACAAAACCACTCAACAAATCAACCGACAAATCAACAAACAAATCGACCAGGAAACCTTTTCAAACTCACCTTTACTCACAGCTGTGGTATCTAGATGGAACCAGTGAGTGTTCCATGATCATCATCAACATAGTCATCAAATGATCACTTATCAAGATCCTCCTGTTTACAAAATCATTCAACGATATCGTCTTTGAAAAAACCATCATTCGACATCACATCATCATTAACATCCACCATCGCTTCACAAACCCAAAACTACGTTCTCTCCTCACTCTTCAAGAAATCCAGTCTTTCCAAACTCAAACTCAGATTTAGATGTGATCACTTTCAAGTTCAAATTGAGGGCGGATGATTTTAATCACAATCATGTTTCAAATCAATTCAAATCAATTGATTAAACTTGTCAAACATTTAAAAAAAATTGCAACTTCATTCATTTTAGATCAATTTATAACATATTATCATGTTGGTACAAAAATTGGATCCACTTCATTTAGGTCATCAGGATCATCTTCTTCGTTGTTCTCCAACCCCTCTTCCCAATCTTCCCCTCGAATGATTGGAGTTTGTACAATATCTCCCCATATATGCCCGACTTGTTCCATCAAGTTGTTCCACTCTGTTTTTAGTAATGCTTCATATTCAATAGGAAGGTTTGTGCAATCCAATGTACCAGACATTACACTCGAAATCCCACGATTCCACGTCATCCATAAATGAGAGTGTGTTCGAATTTCGTTAGAGAATAATGAGATCAGTACTTCCCTGCTCTCCATTAACGAACGTTGGCAATGAGGTCGATTTGGTGTTACAAGTTCCATCACCCACTTGTTGTGTTCATCTTCGAGTGATTCATCTAAGAAACGTGAGAGTTGATCAATGTAAGTTAGGAAGAAAGAAGGAAAGCATGATTAATCACATACTTCTGCTGAATATGATCTCCTTGAGATCCATTAACTTCTTATATGTCTCAACTGCCCATCGGATGGACTCTCTACACTCGCGGCCAATCCGACGTAGCTCATCTTCGGAGTGAGTCACTTCCAAATACCACTTGATTCCGTCTTGTAGGTTTGCATCGGTGGCCCAAGCCTCTTCTGGATGAGTCAATCGACCAAAGTCCCAGAATTGATCATCGATTGGTGCGGACTTCACCTGATCAAAATCTGGACATTCAATTGAAGTTTCATCGGGAAAAGACTCGTTGTACGCTGAAACCTGGCGCTCAAAGGTCACATATTTCTTTCTAAGCTCCGCTTCCTTTGATCGGAGTAACTTCAGATGCCTTTGTAGATGTCGTGTTCCTAGATATGGTTGGTTAGATGAATGATCATCTACCGGATTCAGTTTTGAAATATAGTACATACCTGCCCTCTCATTCGCTTGCTTTGCTGCCTCCAAAACACCAACCTTTGCGTCATAAAGCCTTCCCTTTGACACTCGTAATCGAATCATGGCCCTTCCTCGTGTAGCTAAAACATTCAAAGGTAAGTTATATAATCAACATAATATTGTCTATCCTTTGGTGACTTACTATCTGCTCCAGGTATATTTCTAAACTCTTCTGCCCCAAGCTCGTCAATCAAAGAATCGATCTCCTCTTCAAATAGAGTCAGAGTCTCTGGCAGACGCAAGATGCGCCGCTCGTCAGCTTCATTTCGAGTGCAACGTCGCTTACGTCGAAGGTCCCTTAGCTCCAATCTAACATGAAAGTTGTGGTCAGAATCATTAAGTGACAAATGAAATGAGAGATTCGTACTGTGATTGGTGCAATGTTTCCTCTAAGTCTACCAGATGGGCTAGCTTATCCGTCAATGCTTTGATGCTGTCGGTGCCAATGACTTTGAGCTGACATTCACGTTGTCGGTTCCATTGGGCCTTGATGTAGTCAATCGTGTAGCTAGGATCTTGAAGCAGATGATTGAGCTTGGTTCGACTTTCCCTAAGTAGCTTCTTCATATCCTTCATGCGCCTGATCATTGATTCGACTGAACAGAAATTTGAAACAACTTCAGCCACTGGTATTGAGTTATTGATCAAAAATACAAACCACTATTCAGTCTCCCCCGTTCATTATAAAAGACAGCCTGAAGGTGCAGTGCCCACAGGCGATGATCCTTTGTTGAATATCGTAGCACCGCAACCAAATCACACAATTCTGACCATATGCGCTCTAGTCCCTCTCCATCGGACATGCCCCAGTCAGCATTTAAGCGAGGATTGTACTGTATTTGACAAGATCGTATATGCGCGTAAGAGTGCCAGGCTCCGGTTCCAAACATAAATCGACCTTCTTCGCGTTCGGTATTAAATAAATTTCTCTGTCAAATTCAAAGTCAATATGAAACAAGATGAACACAAGCATAATAAGAAGTGGAACAGTTGAGATTTGAATATCACTCACTAGCTTCATTCCTCTTTCCAGAGTACAGCCAATATCATATAATATTGCAAACTTGCTCTTTATATCTCCTTCTGAAGAATCTACCTCTTTTATCAACCAGTCGATCATGGCCACCGGAAAGTGTCCACTGTTGAATACAGGTTACCAAGTTTTTAGATGTTGTACAATCTTTGTTTTGATGAAAATTGTACCAGTAGCTGAAAGTCACTCACCGTTCGCCACTCTGGACTATGTTAATTAATTTCAACAGGTGGTCATGCCGACAGGCCATCCCAAACAAACCTGTTTCGTCACAAGCTCACCAAGTTTGTTGGCCCCTAGCATCGTTGGCTGCGGTATGACTGGCTGTACATGGGTCCTATATACCAAAAATTTGAGATGAAATGACTATCAGACAATCTGTAAATGGAATGTTTGAGTTTGAAACTTGCAATTGATTCATTTTTGTTGGTTTTTTTGCCATTAGTTGGCTGATTGCAATCATCCCACTTATCAACCTCCTCTTGAGGAATGAAAAGAGAGGGTAAAGTCGAGATCTCACGCCATGTTGCACTGGCTGCTTTATGACGGCGGTGTTGGAAATTCCCGTCCATACAGACAATGAAGTCTGGTTCGCCTTCTCTTTTCCCTTCGACTTGAGGTCCAAAGCACCGAGGGCAGTTGGACGCTAGTTGTTGCAATTGGGTAAGTTTGAGAGCTTTCTTTTTCAGCTCTGCTTCAAGACGTAACATTTCACGATACACATCAACCGCTGCTGAAAACGGTTTTCTCCACTCTCGAGGCTACATAGATACATGTAATGTACATCAGCTCACTCAAACCAGAAGTGATAGAATCTTGAAGCTGAACTTACTTGAAACCCTTTGGCCGATGTGATTATCGGATTTTGAGCATCTAGGTATTCATCAATGGCCAGGCAGAATGGTTTGATTCGGACACGACATAGCTTCCATATTAGATGATAAAGCCTTAAAAGTCGAATAGAAAAAGCGGTAACAGGATGTTTAGCTGTCGCTCCAATCAAACCCATCTGTACCAGTCGAACAGAGTCTAACTGGCACGAGCAGAAGACAACCTTGATCTTCTTTCGACCTGGTTCATAATCAAAATCAATACATTCAGAAGACAATCAGTAAGTCGGCTGGGTGCTCCTTTATTCAGAAAAAGTTTTGGAATCTGACAAGTGATATCAACAATGTCAATTGACCGTTCTCGACGGTCGGTTGTACATTTACAAGCAGCCTTCCAGTCCCGATTCCAAGTTTCCTCATCACCCCATTGATACGTTCTTTTAGAGCACTTCATGAATTCACAAAACATGAGTGGTGCAGCAATTCTCATCTGCGCTTGTTCACGTTGAGTCCTCTCTCTGTACGAGACATAATCTTTTGTGTTTGGTTCGTCATCTTCGTCATCGGTCCAAATGGAGTCCTGGCCGCCCTCATATGTACGATAATCTTCATTTTGGATTTCATCATTCCTATTCAAAGAACCCTGACCCAACAGCTTCGCCATAATTGCAGCAGATGCCTTTGCCTCTTGTGAAATCAGCTCATCTAATTTATTTCCTAATGCTGTTTTCTTGATCTTTTTATTTTTCCTTTTCTTGGATGATCGAATCGGTCGCGCTGGTAAGGCCATGGTGTGTTGATTATGAGGTCACTAAGTATTGGGTTCAGTTTGAAAGGAATGAGCCCAATAAGAATCAAATAAAAAAGGTATGAACTTGTTTAACCTTTTCCTTGGCATGGATCAATCGCACTCATCTGATTGATTTGAAATCGATGGTGTGTAAAGTTTTTGTAGGCTAGCGTGGGCTAATGGTGGTAAATAGCTAATGTGGCATTTAATTGAAATCTAAATGAAGATCACAATGAAATAAGACCCTACCAAATCGGGATAGGGATGAGGGATACATACTTACCAAAGCGGAAATTGGGCTATTGAAAATACTACTAAAGTGAGAATTGTGCTATTGAAAATACTACTAAAGTGAGAATTGTGCTATTGAAAATACTACTAAAGTGAGAATTGGGCTATCAAAATGTCAACATGGAGACATAGCAAATTGGGATGGAATATCAAACCACTTTTTATGATCTCCATGTACGTGAAACCATCATCCTCAAGTGATGCATTGTGTAGAAAGGAGACTGTCATTTATTTTGTCTAGTTTGATTGACAAACAAAAAAGTTATCAAAGCTTTTGTCACTCAAACCGTAACTAGCATGTGGGCACTCAATTTTCAAAAGTGACTTAAATTATTCACTTTGAAGTCAGGTGAGGGTGTGTGAAACTCTTTGTAGTCTAAAGATTGTGTAGATTCAAGGATGTTATTGTTTTCTCTTGGTTTATTGACAAACCCAAAAGTTATTGCACCAATATAGTGAATACTATGTCATTTGCAAGGAAGAAATTACAAAATTAAGGAGTCTTTGTGGAGTCAGGTAATGTATCATGAACCTTTTTATTCTCAACATAGTATGTGAAAGAAAGACTGCCACTTTTTTCCAAAGTCTCATTGGCAAGTGAAAGATTATCAAATGTTTTGTGGTGCAAATAGTAAGCAGTACATGATTACCCAAATGTGATAAAATAAGCACAAAGGTGGGATGTGAAGTGAGGTTGCAGTGATTATTTTTTTTACATCTATAATAACATTAGAAAATAACCAAGGTTTGTAGCAGATTGAACAATATCTGAAATTGATGTGAGGTGAAGAGCGGCTTCACAGCGCGGAGAAGCAGTGAACATGGCTTCAGGTAGGTGTCAACTCCAACTTCAAAGTGAGAAATTGTGACAAACTTCATCTCATAACATTTTCAGATCCTGTTCAATCTGCTTCAAATTGACATCAGAAAGCGTTGATTGGCAAGTTTTGCAAAAACTTGTGCATCATTATCGGATACACAAATTTGGACATAAATTCATTCAAAGCACTATGAAGGCGCAGGAAATATGCTGATATCTCCCCCCCTAGATGACAAAATCAAATTTCAATAGCAGTTTGATAATACAACTTTTTTACATATCCACTCATTCATTGTGTTATTCTCAATCAAACCCTCAACAACTCTCACATTCAAGATAAAAACATCACAAACACTATGAAGTGTCAGGAAATATGCTTACATCTCTTCCCCCAGATGACAAAATCAAATTTCAATAGCAGTTTGATGATGTAACTTTTTCTCTTATCCACTCATTCATCATGATATTTTCATTCAAACCCTCAAGAACTCAAAGTTCCCCTTTTGTTCTCATTCTGACTTGGATCACACTTACACTTGTTGAAGAAATATTCTTGGGGTGTTTTGTGGTAATGAAGCACAGATTTATCCTTTAGACCTATCACTCAGCTCCCCTTCTTCCCCATTATAATTCCGCCCAATTCCTCAAAATAACCCTCTCTGGTATATTCTTTTTTGTCAGTAATGTTCGAAAACCTTGCTTTAACGACTCAACATTTCTAAATATATATATTTGCAATGCATTGATTTAATTATGATTAATTATGATTTGATATGTTTGAAAACATTTATTGGTGCAGCTGATTAATTACAACAGCTATAGATCTAAGAGAACAAAGAGAACTGTCTGACTTGTGTTGAAAACCAATGCAATACCTCTCCGTGCAACACCGCAGCACCGGCCAAAACTGAAGTGGCCGGGCCTGTCAAACTCGGCCTCGCACGTTGGATGATCTGCAGCGGATCATCCATCTTGATCTTGTATCTTGGTTTATTGTTTCTTTCCTCTCAATCACATCATCACATCGCCACCATCACCATCCTACAGGACCCTGGAATACACCCACAGAGGGTACTTACGAAAAAACCGACCTTTTGTTGACGTAGTTTTTAGATACTAGACTGCACTCTATCAAGACCTACAGAAGCACAAAAGATGCACCAGAATGAAGGCTTTCAAATTCACTAGCTCGCAGCCTGGTAGCACCAATATTACCTAAGATATATCAATGTAACGCCCAAAAAAGGGCCAAAAATCGAGGGTCGGTTTTTGGCCTTGGAGGTCGAAAAAAAAATTGCGCCATCGCGATTTACGCCGCCGTGAGACATGATGCCGGGCTCTGTCTGGGCTCATCTGATAGCCCTACTCCATGCGCATCTTTTGAAGTGCTCTGCAGCTTCATAGAGGCACTGATGCGTAGTGTAGAGGCAAAAAACTGAAAATCATGCTCCGTCAGTACCCTCCATGGGTGTATTCCAGGGTCCTCATCCTACTTCGACTTTTCCATCATCTGATCATTGACCCACACACAACACCAAGTCATGTCAACACGCTCAGGTAAACGTCTCCGGTCTCCTGTAGCTCCTGTGGCTACCAAAGCAAGCAATAACCGCAAGACCGACACTCGAAAACGTCCCAATACCAGTAATCGTGGATCGAAGCGTGCTAGAGAAGGACAACAAGACGATCAGCAAGGCAATGATTTGGATCGTGATGAAGAAAACTTACTTAATCCAAATGACGACGAGACTCATCCAGAGTTCACTTCCAACTTCCCCGAATTGACTTTTGACAACGTTGAAGAACAACTTGATAAGTGGACACTTGTAGAGCTCAGGAACGCCCTTAAGGATCAGAAAAAGCGAACTCTTAGGCACAAGAATCAAGCTCCAAGTGAGATCAAGACGTTTGTTGAGTTGGTTCGGCGGGACTACGAGAAACGGATGTTGATGGCCGCACTTATTGGTGGAATCAGCGAGACGATGATATGGTCGCTTGTGTAGGTCCATCGTGTTTAGATTCTTTTAGTTTCTGTATACTGACAAATTGCATGTGCTCATCGTGCTCTCAGTGATGCAGGTCCAAAGAAAAAAAACAAATTAAACTGTTATGCTCGATTCTTGTCCTTCGGCAAGGAGGCTCTTGAGGTTGAAGGTATGTGATGGATCTTTTTATCTATCTTTGTCTCGTGTTGTGCCAACAATTGATAAGGTATCATCTATTTGTTTCAAATTCAAATTCGAATTTAGTGCCTTCTCGAAACGTTCCAGCTGGATGGGGCCGTCGCAACAAGATACTGCGGGACAAGTGGAAAGAAAAGAGTGTTGATCAACAGATGGTATTTCGGGACCCGTTTTTCTTCGCTTTAGCCAAACTTCCCGATTTATCCTTATCGAATGAGGATCATGTTCAACTGGAAGATGACAATGGCGAGATCATCGACAACCACAATCCAGCAGCCCAAGTATCAGCCCCCAAGATTCATCAGTTATGCAAGAGCGATGAGATCAAGTATCGACCAATCTATGAAGATTTGGTAGATGTTGAGAAAGTTCATGCCAACCACGGAAAACCAGAATCAACTGACTCAATGCAAACTATGCAGCTCAAGTCTTTAGCAGCATTTCGAGCCGCACATCATGATGTAAGAAGCTTCCTTCCCGGCTAAAATCTCAAATTTCCATCACTTACATGAATCATGTAGTTTGCCACAGTGTGCCAGCGTTTCCACATTCACTATCACCTGACTGCCCTCAGCTGCGATGTTGAAGATGGCTGGAATCGAGTTTTGTCAACCGATAAGACATTCTCGACGTGGGCTGAAGAAAATTTGAAATTGTCAACGAAGTTTAAGTATTATGTCCACGGCAAGGTAGTGGCTCAGGAAATTGAAAAGAAGCTACCTCAACCTGTTGATGCGCGTAGAGGCGAACTGACTAGAGAGCTCAATAAACTGCTAAGTAAGTCTTCTTCATTCAATTTCATCTTATGACAACGTTCCATTCAGTTAACCAGTATTGTGTCACATCTACAACACAAGATGTACACATGCCCGGTAAGATCTTTCCAAAAACAGGGAATCCATTTGAAGTGATTGCAGACAAAGGTTGGCCAATCCGACTCAATCTTAAACGACCAGAAAGTTTACTCTTACCGGAAGAGTTGGCCTTGGGTTTTCGAGATTGCAACGATGCACTAAAAAAGAACTGGCTCAGCGACATTCAAAGTGGACACTTCACTATCGAAAAGATTCCAGCTTCTGAGATCATTACAATGAAAAGAAAGCCCAAAAACAAATCAAGTAAAAAATCGAAATCGAAATCGAAATCGACTCAACCACACGCAGCATCACCTGTCAACACTCAAGAACACACCCGAAATGATGGAACTGCAGAGCATGCGGAGTCTCAACCTATCCCGCGAACTCAAACAGCTCAAACCCTGCCTGATCAAACTCATTCACAACAAATTGTTGAATCATCGAGGAAAAAGAAATCAAAGAAATCAAAGAAACCAGCTAAGAAGCTTCGCCGGGATGATGATGAATCCTCCGAGTACAAGACAGCATCTGAATCTGATCCAGATGAATCTGATCTAGATGAATCTGATCCAGAGTCGAACTGAAATTCTCAAAAACGTATCACTTGATCATTACAAACAACCAGTTATAAAACCTTATTCACATCTCTTTTTGACCACACCTCCCTATTTGTACCTCAAAATTTCAACGATGTCCTTGATCTAGTCACACACATACAGTCAAACTACATCTTTGATGTCTTTGATACAATTTAAAAATTATTCGCTGCTTCTCTGTCAAGTTATCAAATGTCTTTCTAACACTTCATGTGAGTTGCAATCAATCTCATCACTTGAACTCGACCATTTCAATCATTGCGACTGATGAATCAAGTCACCTAATGATGATTATGATTCGATATAATTCAATTCACAATCACTACAAATGAATTGAAGAATCGAATCAAATCAATTACATAATTGATTTGGTTCAATCAAACCCTATCAAATCACTTTAAGAATCAATTGCTATCGAGTCAATTCATTGTTGATAGTCTATTGATGACATGACAGAGCAATTCAGATCCATAATGAATCAATTCCTTCATGAAACAAATTTGTGAATCGAGTGCAATTAAATGGATCAGTCCTTGATAAAACAAATTTGTCAATTGAGTAAATACATACATTTAAAATAGTTTAAAATCGATTCAAAAGAATCAATTCAACGAATCAAGTTGATTCTTTGATATGTCTCTTGATAGACCCCTTTCAATCAAATCATGATATTTAGCTCAACCTGAGCCCCGGACCCGTCACCCCGCGGGGTCTCCGAACCCTACCCCGATAGGGGTAGGGTTCGGAGACCAGCTATAGAACCGCAATGCTTAGGGGACCCGATCGGGTAGGGGTGCGGGCTCAAGCTCAGAAGAATAACCCTACCCGCGGGGAACCCGCGGGTAAGGCGTAAAAACACTAAGACCAGTTTTCCTTCGACTGGCTCACCGGAGTTGTTCGAAAGAAAGGTTTTGATAACATTCTTGGTAAAGACAGTAATGAAAAGGCAAACAAATATGGCCAATATAGAGTCAAAAGATGTTGGTAAAGATGGTGAAGAAAAAGTAGTGAGGAAAAACTGAGGGAAAATGAGACTAATCCTCCCCATCAATCTCGATACAAACACTTAAAGGGTTTTTAACCGATGGAAAAGGGATAGGACCAAAAATACGATACCATTCCTTGATACATAATAGTATTTCAACACTGATAGAAGATAAAGATGATCTCTGAGGCACTAAGATTCTTTTTGTCTTACTAAATGCTCCTTCGGATGAGGTGCTTGAACCAGGAATCCCCAAGTACATCTTGGCCATTTGAGCAAGGCCTGGTGAAGATCCTTCACGGAGTTTCCAAAATCCGAGAATGGTTTTTGATCGATGCGCGCGAGGCTCACCCAAGTATTGAGCTATCTCGCTTTCGATTGTGGTGGATTCGGTATGTTCTTCGGTTCCGTAGATCGCATCGTCAAGGTAAGATTTGCTCTTCTTCTTCACATGTTGTGGGATTGGAGTCGATGATGAGAACTGAGATGATTTCCTAATGAAATGTGACTTGAAATCATTCGGAGTCATTCCATAGCGACTGAAAAATGTAGCTCGATCCTGATTATACACATCAGTTCAAACATCAAAATAGAGTAAGAGCTATACATAAAGTTTGCTCACTTCGAAAAACTTCATCTTGAGTTGTGGATTGAGTATTGTCGCACAGATTGGTGCTGGTTTGCGGAGTGCATCTTTAAAGTATTCCTCAAGCTTGAGAAGCATGTCACGCGCAGCTGGTAGGAGTTGATTATGATCATATTTTTCCTGGACCTATGTAAAACAAGAAAGATTTATCAATGTTGAAATCACATTTGGGAGTTGTGAAGATGAGCAGTACATAGAAGGAACTGCACCTTCATTAAGCCCTCGATAACGACTGTATAGATGGGAATTACATCTTGCATCGTTGGGAACCTTCGTTTACACAATAGATCTGTAGCCTCACTGAGGGGTTCCAGAAAATCACACATTTGTTGAACATAGTCCCACTCGAGTGGGGTCAGAGCAAACTTGGTGGCTTCTGTACGTTCACAATACCTCATACAGGCTGCTTTGAGTCGAAGAGCTCGTTTGAGCATGAAGTACGATGAGTTCCATCGTGTTGGAACGTTGACAGAGAGCCTGTCAATGCGATCAGTTTTGTTGACAGCTTCTTGCTCGTCCGGGTTTTCGTGTGTCTTGAACTGGAAGAATTGAAGGGCTTCATCTTGCGAAGCGATGTTTTCTGTGTCATCAGTAAGGTCGGTATCAGAAGTGGCGTCGAGGGACCGAATAAGGCCTACAAGACTTGCGAAAGCTTGACTACGTTGAGGAGTCTTTCGTGTGTATATGGCTAGTCCATGAATACGTGCGTAGATTGTACTTAGATCAACTGAAGAATTGTCGGGGGGGTTGACAATCATAGCTAATGTCGGAGGAACATGGTCTTCATCCAGATTGGAGTCATCTCCAAATACCTTAAGGCCCTCCTTTGCAGCTAAATTGATTACGTGACCACAGCATCCAAGCAGCTGGTCCTCTTCAAATTCCAGATTGGGCTCTTCCAAAAGTAAACGTCCTATCTTTTTGTTAACACTTGCATTGTCCGCAGTCAAGGCAGAAATCTTTGAACAAAGATTGTATCTTCTGACATACTTGAGGAATAGTTCAGTGAAATTTTCACCGTCATGTGCTCCTGTGGTTGAGTAAGCAAACAGTTTGATCAAATGTCAGGTGACAAAACAGAATCAAATGAATGTTGTAAAACTAACCTTCAATTTGTGGCATTCCAAGCACCACATCCATTAATTTCCAATCTTTGGAGATATAATGAGCCGTAATCCCCAAAAACCCGTGATTATTTGGTGAGGTCCAAGCGTCTTGGGTGAAGGCCACATAGGACGCTTCAGCAAAACATACATCCTTTATGTAGTTTTCAAAATTCTGACAGACCTTTCTACAGTGCTGAGCAATTGAATGACGCTGTACAAGCATGCCGCTGATCTGAGGATTTGCAAGTAGAAGAAGCTTTTTGAAAGACGACTTATTGACAATAGCGTAAGGAAGGTCACAGTCGGCTATAAAATAGGAAATTGCTGTTTTTAAAGTTTGAATGTTGAGTGTATCAACTGGTTCAGCCTTGAATTTCTTCAAGAATCCATCAAGACTTGATTGATTCTGCGAGTTTTCACTATGTTCAGTAATATTGTGACCTTCTAAATGAGTCTTCATTGACTTTGTACTTCCGGTGGCATCCTCCTTCATCTTTGCACCACATTCCTTGCCAGTGATAGGGTCAGAGAAGTTACATCGGCTATAGCCTTCTCCTTGTTTTGATCCGGGGAACTTTGTAAAGTGTGACCAAACAAAACTGACTCGGCCACGTTTACGTCCTTCAACTCCAGTAGATTCATCGCCAGGTTGATCGAGGATAGGAAGACCTGGGGTTGATGCTTCAGCAGAGGTACCAGATGACATGACGATAAGGGAATTTGAGCAACAGTAGGCAATAGTCTGTCTACGGAATTTAGAAATCAATCGATTATTGATGTTTTTTTTGCTTTTTCCATCAAACTCGTACCAATGTCTCCATTATAATGTGTTGAATCAGGATGAATCTCACATGGAAGGCAGAAGTGACATCACTTGGCATTCCTATGACATATTTCAAACTCAACAGGATACTTGAATTTTACTACAACAGCTTCAAGAAGGTGCGATAATATAAATTAGCTTTGGGGCCCCGCGGTTTGACCGCGGGCCCCGAAGGGGCCCCGAAGGGGCCCCGAAGGGGCCCCGAAGGGGCCCCGAAGGGGCCCCGAAGCCTTCCGGGTACCCTAGGGTAGTAGGGTCGAGCTTTGGGATGCCCCCAGCCTCTCGGAGAGTGGTCGGTTAGGGGTCGGGTAGGGTTAGGGTTCACAGCTTGCCTTTCGGGTTAGGGGTCGGGATTGCTGTTACCCGCGATTTTGGCCTCGGGGCTCAGGTTGATATTTAGCCTTATAAACCTTTGGGTCATTCGAACCAAGTCATTTAACATACCTACGTGCAATTTATCTTCTTTTGTATGAGATTAATAATACATCATTTAATCGATTCTTCTTTTTTAAAATCAAATCAATTTCATGGTGTTGGTTTATTCTTTTGAATCACAACAATCCAATCGTAACTTATCAAAGTCTCTCCCGCCCGAATGGTCGAGGGAGGATCCAATCGATTGTTTTCATTTAATGTTTAGATATCCTTTGTTACTTACATCTGATCGATTTGATCCAAATGAATTGCATGGGTTGTTGATTCACTCTGATTCACTTCATCTCATCAATATTTGCTCATTTGAATCCATTTGGTCTCTTTCCACAAAGAAGACATCTGCAATACCTAAGGACCTATTCAAATGCAGTCATGTTGATCATGCTACATCATGTATTGGCATGAGTTGACAGTTGCCAACTCGAAAAGTGATGACGCCATCCCAAAAGAAAGTATAGTTTCAAGTATACATAATATTGGTGTGCGTGCTTGAGTGGTAGAGCGAAGGTCAGCTCGATCTTAACAGTGAGATAGGTGGTTCTTCTGTACAAGGGGATGGATTGAAGCAAGCACGCCCGGTTGGATGAAGTCTTCACAAGCCCTTCAAGGCCTCTGAGGACTGGCAAGTTTGAGAAAGGTGAGCGAGGGTGAGCGTTGAAGAGGGAGATGCGTTTTGACATAGTTAGTGTACATAAGGTAGAAGACAAAGTCACCATATGTGTCTGGGTATACCTGACACGGGTTCCAATGAGTCATCTGATTGATCTGGAAGCTCTCAAATTGATCTGAGGCTCTCACATTGATCTGGGGCCAGATTGATTGAGGAGCTCAGATCGATCTTGGGACTCTCAAATCGATCTGAGAGGCCGCAGATCGATCTAAGAGCTTGCAGATCAATCTGAGTGATCTGAGAACCTTTGAGATTGTGAACTTGAGATTTTTTCTTGTTTTCAATTGATAAAAAACAAAGATAATGCTTATGAGAGACAACTTGAGCACTTTCAAGACTTGAAAATGACTTGGACAGTAATTATGAGTGTAAGTTTTTCCGCTCTAGATCATCTCAAGTGATCTAGCGCAGACGTTCAAGTCAAATTCCGGTGACATGGCGCCCCGTTTCATGGCTTTGGTACTCGACCGGAGTAGGCGCCACAGGTGCTCATAGCAAGCTGGCGGCGATTTCCAATCGGACCCTTGATCTAGCCCAAATCCGCAACAGGGCTGCACTCAAAGCCTTGTTTTTGAAAGAAGCAATCAAATTCCAATCCAATGATACAGAAAGCAGTGATGTGCCTTCAACCAAGCCAGAACCCAAGTGTCAAGCGTTTGGAGCTTGATGGTTTGTAAATCATGGATCAAAGCTCACGGTGGAAGAGGAAGTGGATACTTACCTCAATGGGCCAACACACAAACTGAACCGCCGGGAAATACGGCCGACAGTGCGGTGTGGTACGGTCTAGACACCGTAGGCTGCGGTACGACAGACTACGGTCTGACCGTACCGTAGTGGGGTAAACCCCCAGGAATATGGGGGTGGGTACCGTACCGCTGTCACCGTATTCGGAGTATATACCACCGTAGTTTGGAGTGAGTACGGTCACTCCGGTATTACTCAGCGGCCCATTTACAAATCCCAAGATGGTAAGAAACCAACGCTTCTCTTTTACCTCCAAAGACAAGGAGCAAACTGAAGCAGACTTGATTCCATCTTCACAATGAAACTTGAAACAAAAGCAACGTAATCATGATACTGATGATTCTGAAGGTGGAACCGGTTTCGATCGCATCTCGGACGCTAAACGTCGACAGTTCAATCACAGGGGCAAAAATTGATGCTCACAACTATGTGAGCGTTGAAATTTTCCTGTTTTGTTCCCATTTGTTTCCCATTTGTTTCCAATTTGTTTCCAATTTGTTTCCCATTTGTTTCCCATTTGTTTCCCTTTTCTTTCTGTTTGTCAGCTGATTACGTGATCATCAGGAACTGAGCAGACAAACTAAGCCTTCCTCAGCATTTATTCCTGAGCAAAGAAGTCTGAGGAATGGCTGATCCATCTGCTCAGCTGATCCTGAGCGGCATTCCCTGGTTCAGTAAGCTCCAAGGGATGCCACCAATGTATAGCTTAGGGGCTGAGCTGAACTGAGTATTCCCTTAGCTAAGTCTCTGAAGTATCCCCCAGATGGATCACAGAGCGCCAAGCTTGCGTCAAGCTTGATGGCTCCGGAATGAAGCCTGAGGCCCGTCTGCTTGTTCAACTGAGCTGCTCAGTTATTCCTCAGGGGCATCCCTGAGATCAGGAGGATCCGAAGGATTTCACTGCTCATTGGATGAGGGGCTGCTCAGTTATTCCTCAGGGGCATCCCTGAGATCAGGAGGATCCGGAGGATTTCACTGCTCATTGGATGAGGGCCTGCTCAGCTAGTCCTCAGGGGCATTCCTGGCCGGATCAGAAGGATCCAAAGGATGTCACTGAGTATTGGCTGAGGGGCTGCTCAGTTGATCTCAGCCCCTCAGTGTGAAAAACTTTATCCGGGGATATCACTGAGGATTAGCTGAGCAATGAGCAGATGGGATGACACTTTTATCAGGCTTCATTCCTTAGCAAGGAAGTCTGAGAAAAGTCTGGCCCATCAGTGATCCAGTCAGGGGATGCTACTGAGTATTTGCTGAGCAGCTCAAATGGGACCCCCCTGGGCAGGCTTCTTCACTGAAAAATGAAGCCTCAGGAAGGTATAGTTCATGTGCTCATCTTCATTTTGAACAAATTGCTGAGTATTCAGTGCCTCATGAGCTGATCCTGAGTACTCATTGGGAATCAGTTATTGCTCATCCAAGATGGAAATGAGCCTTCTCAATAAATGTCAAGTAAAATATGAGAACCACAGGATGATCACCTGAACACAAACAAGATTGTGAATTGAATCAATCTGAAAGAAAATGAATCTTTTTTGGAGAATTCCAAAAATTCTACAACGCTCACATGTATGTGAGTATCTATTTTGGCCCCTGTGAATAGTGCTGCCACCAATGAAGCTGATGACAATGTGGATGGTACCCCAATAGCTACTGGTGATGGTGAAATGGGTGAAAGTCCATGTCTTCCTCTTTAATCAATCGTTTTTTCTCTTTTTCTTTGTGTTTGTGTCCTTCTTACTACATCTTTCAAGTCACTCTTTGATTTGATCGATCCTTTTGTGCTTCTTAAATCCTTCGAGTCACTCTTTAATCTTTCATCAATAGTCCTGCCAGACATGGATCTAACTTAAAGCCCACGTTCTTGAGAGATTCTAGAAGCAATGATCAAGTCTTGTGGTTTCTTCTTTAGCTTTCGTATGTATCTTTTCAAGTACATTGAGTGGAAGGAAAGTAAAATCAAGAGCTGTGTCCTCAGTAGCGGGTCCATCTTCTTCATATGATCCCAGACTCGTTCCAAATTGAAAGTTCCATCGCTTCGGCCTAATATTCAAACCAACCTGCCAATTTATCTTTGGGTATATAAATTGGCCAATTATCAGGGTAAGACATATACGGGAAATGGTCTGCCCATATCTATAAAACAAAGTGTTAAGCAACAAGAGAATCAATCTAGATCTATCTTGACGCTAAATCTTGATGACTTACAGGATTGTGTAAACAGAGTGAATGATACCGTTTTTGCCATGAATCTCCTGTTTGTTGATTCTTATTCACAATCAGCGTACTCAAGCCGAGCAACTTTGAACACGCTGCTAACATCAAAACACTCTGACCCGCGCCAATGATCATAACCGTTGGTTGAGCTGAATTTGATAAGAACAACATTAGCGCGGATTTCAAAGTGAGATCTAGTAGAATCAAGTAATTCAATTTGTCATTCTTTTACTACCTATATGGTCAATTTGATTTTTTGATTGTAGCCAACCGTGGACTACGGTCACTACGGTCACTACGCTTTGGTCCGCTACGGTAGTGACCGTACCGTAGTGACGGGTTGACCTAGTAATACCATTGACTACACTACGGTTACGGTGAGGTTTAGAAATTAAACCTCATTGTACCGCCGCCGAGGCCGTAGTGCACTTCACAACGGGCCGGTTTGTGTGTTGCTTGTGCTCACCTAGCTGTGCCCGCCACAAGTGTCTCTTCCGAACAAGTTTTCTCAGGAGGCAGTCGTCTATGGACTAAATATTGGATGAGCATGAAGGCCTTCACTTGTGAGGCTCTGTTGTGTGTAAAAAGCTGGATCAAGTTTGGTTTAGGACGCATTTAAGCAACCCTTATGAAAAATAAAACCTTTTGTTTTAATTGTTACCCGTATATTTAGAAGATACAATGTATCCATCTATACCTACAACACTCTGAGCCGTTTTCCAAGTGAAATCGTGTCAGCTCATCAATCTTTAATGCCTGAGTTTGGGCCCCAGAGCCATAACAAAAGCCCAAGAGAGGGCTATTCTCGGGCCTCACCAGCTTCTGAGCCTGTCCAGGACGGGCTCTGGCAGAGCCTTAGTTTAGACCAGCACAAGGCTTTGTTACAGCGTTTTTTTGACCGTTGTCGTAGTCACTCAAGATGAGAGGCTGGTACTGGCACGGATTGTGTTTGTCTTCCTCTCACATTTTTCTGGTAGAAAGACAAAGTTGAATTAGTCTTCATCTAGATATCTCAGTAGTTTTGAAACAAGACCAGTACTTACAATTTTCCCAGTTTTCTATTGCACCTTGCACACGCCCCTTGATCATCACAATCTAGCTTCCACAATGACAGTGGAGTGTCTTGTGTGAAACAGCCTTGGTTGTCTTGCAAAGAGTACAAGGAGTGTTTGGCTCAGACAAGGGACATGATCTGATGACATCCTGTTGGGGTGTCTTACCGCAACCGTTCTTGGTTTGTTTGTTGGTTTCATCCTTTTCAGATTCATCTTCAATTACAATCAATTTTTCTGATTCACCCTTTCCACATTCATCCTTTTCGCCTTCATCCTTCTCAGAACCATCTTCAATAACAATGACATCAACTATATCATGAGATGTTCCTACCGCTGAATCTAAATTTTGTTTGACCATTTTTGAGGATAGATACGAGCAATACCGCACCCGCTCCACAACTTTTTGCAGTTGTGTTGCGGTTGCGTTGAGTTTTTGGGGACCGCAATGGGACCGCTATATGTTGCGGTCCCAGTGCACCGCAATCCCGGTCAGAAATACCCGGGTCCTCAAAAACCGCACCAAAATAGTGCTTCAACCCGCTATATTGTGGATATAGCGGAATGAAACCCTTCTACCACAAGTCTGTGTACAGGGTCAACGTCCTACTCCTCCACTCAACTCTCATCCAAGTGTCCTATCATGGAAAGTGGCGCTTGGATTGTTCAAACGCTGGAAGACCACCCCTGGAGCCCCTGGACAACATCTCACCTTTGGCTGACATTGGTTCACTTTTGATTTGGATTTTTTGTGCTGATAAGAGGTTCACAGACACTCTTTCACTTTCATTCCCCTCAAATCCAGTCTCCTCAAATCCGATCTTCAAATTCACCTTTCTTATATACCTAATAACTAATCTTAGTTTGTTTTCTTACTTACGATGAACACCACTACTCAAAACTCTCAAAGCAATACGCTCCAGGTTCCTGTTAAGTCTTCCACTAGAAACCTTTGGCCAGCAAGCCCTTCTCGCACCCAGCCGGGCTTTGTCACGACTCCAAACGACTCCCAGACAGCTCTGAGTTGACCATCTAGTCCTGGAACTGCAAATGGATTAACTCAAACACTTTCTTGTCGACCTGCTTTACCTTGCCCGGCCGTTAAGAGCCCAAAACCAGCTTCCAAAGGAAAGGTAAGGACTTTGTTTGGATTGTTCACCACGCCAGCCGATGTTCAAAGTGGATCTCTTCACTACATCAACTTGCAGACTTGATCTTCGGCTAGCAAGCATGTGAGGTCACCCTCAGCTACTTTGTCGGGTGGCACATCCCAACCATCAAAGAGAAGATATAAGACCAAAGCAGATGTAAGTTTTAGGTTATGAATTTTTATTCTAGTTATTCTATTTCATCATTCAGCATTTCTCTTCCTTTCAAATCAGTCATGGTATTGATTTGATTAATTATTTTTCATGCCTATGAGATACCACAAGACATCGATATGGATCAAGAGTCCGATGTTGAGATCATCGAAACCCATGAACCTGGCTATAACGCATCTCGGACTCACAATGTCCAAGATCTCCTTAAATACTTTCATCCGCCCAAAGTCAGTGATTCCTCTTTTCTCAATTCTTGGCCATAGATACTAACTAACCATACTTCCTCTTCTCCAGGACCAAGATTACAAATGTTGTTTTTTTCACAAGCTTTTCAAAGGCGACAAAACGAAGACGTCATAATTTAACTTATGTGGGCATTGTGATGGTAGCGCTACCCAACCTGTGTGCAAGCAGCAACATAAAGCTGTTGCTGCGGGCTTCAACCTTCCTCCTTCTTATACTGACAAGCAACAGTCCCTTAAAAAAACAACAAAGGGACTTTATCATCCTTTGTAAGTGGGCCACCGTTCACAGTAGAACTTCTCAATATGCTATTAGTCTTGTGGATCATCCGGCACGCCCTGCCTTGGGCCCAATTTGAAGACCTGGCCCTTTGTGCCACTTTCAATTTGGTCAATCGAGGTGCAACTGTCCGATCAAGGACATGGGCTGCACAACAATCTGTTGTGCTTTATTCAGCATTGCACCATAAAGCAATTACCACCTTTAAGGTAAGTTTATGCCATTTCGATTTCTCTATGTAGATTATGAATCTCAAAATCAAATTGATTGAATTTAAACTACTGATTTTAACAGGAAAACCGGGGCAAATTCTGTTTGGTACACAACATGTGGACTACTAAAGGAAACCGGTATGCTTTCATTGGTGCGACTGCGAACTACATTGACAAGAATTGGAACTAAAAATTGACACACCTGACACTCAAGATGGTCACCTGGCGACATTTTGGGGCTCTCTTGGCAAGACCACTTGGCCGGTTTTTGATACATCATGCTCTTCACACGAAGATAAGTATCATGTTTTCATTTTTCTTATAGTACCTTACGATTGCTAACTTTTTTGTCCTTTATCTACATGTTAGCGCAAACCACTGACAGTGGCGGCAATAACAGTCCTATGGCTGACAAAATGTGGTCGATGTTTGCGGCTGCAGAGGAACCAGTCAATTGGGACAGCTCGGCACACCATGTCCGCTGCTATGCCCATAAGTTGAACCTCACAGTGGGGCATGGTCTTTGAATTCTTGGTCAGAAGGTCAATACGGCAAAACCGTCAATTCCGAATGGTGTGCCCCTCCCTATCCCAGTCCTTGAGGTAAATGTTGGCAAGGATGGACTTGCTATTGACAAATCCGATTCTGAAGAAGAGAACAATTTTGGGTTACCTGACAAACCTGATGGAGTTGATGAAGAGGACACTTATGAGGTTGCCAATGTAGATGGTGCAGTATGTGAGAAAGACAATACTGTAGCTATCACCCTTGCAAAGGTCAGTCTTGATGTTATCATACTTGTTTCTACACTATGATTGCAAGTGATACTCTGTTTTGACTGCATATAGGTCGGCAAAGTCAGTGGCCAAATTGCTAGCAGTGCAGCAAGGCGATCAGATTTTAAGGCACGTTCCAAGCGACTGGAATATAGAGGTAGGATGCTCAAGCGTCCTTGCAAGACGCGTTGGAACAGCCATTACAAAAGCCGAAAGATAGCATGCAAAGCTCAGGAGGTATGTATTCTTTCATCCATTTACATCATCCAATCTATACTGATTATTTATGATCTACAGGTGATTAAATCAATGCTTGCAGCGGATCAAAAGGCCTGTTTCTTTAAGGGGGTTACTATCTCTCCGGTCAAATGGCACGCTGTTGAGTTGGTCAATAAAATTCTCAAGGTAATCTTTGCTCCTTTTCGGCAGGCATTCAAATAAATCACTGACCCTCTTATGTTTTGGTAGACGTTTGTAGATGCCACTGCTCGTGTTAAGGGCAATGGACCTACAGGTTGTATAGTCCTAGCAGAATACAAATGTGTCATTGCCAAACTTAAACTTGTTAAAATTGAATCATCAAAATACTCAAGCCTTGAAAAAGCAATAGACGAAATGATCAAGTGGCTCTCAAATTATCAGGAAGAAGCTGCAGGATGTGAAAGCATTGTTCTAGCCACGATCCTGAACCCACGCTTTTGGGGGAAGTTTTTTGAGCTCCATTAACCTGAACACACCATCTCTGCTGATGCACTAATCAATTACGCTATCACCAAACACATGGAACTTGAAGAATCTGAGGAGCAAGAGCCAACCCCATCTCCTGACAATGACACTATTTTGGCTGAGATCAACGCCTTTGACGTCTTTGGAGTTGCAGGCTCCAGTGCTACCAAAGCATCTAATTCCGACCTTGAGGAATTTTTGCAAGTACTTGTATGATGAAGAAGGACCAAACTCCATTCGGATGGTGGAAAGCATGTACATTTTGGTTTCGTAATTGCTTTGATTGGTATCACACTGACCTTCGTACCTGGCTGCAATGCCACTGGCGCTCCGCCCAAAACAGCGGAAGCGGTGCGGCAGCGGAGCGGCCGCCCCGCCTGCACTATGCTTTTAGCCATATAGCGGGTGGGGCGCCCCACTATAGCTATACTCAAAACCTAACCCAGATAGCGGTTTACCTTGCCGCACTGTATAGCGAGATATTGCTGTGCTATCTGGGGTCATAGCGTGTCATAGCGCGGTTTTGCACCAGAGCGCCCTAGCGCCCCACAGCGCCCCACA